GTAATCCATTAATTATATAATAGGGTTATCGGCTTAATAATAATATTATTATTATAGGATTTTACAAAGTAATATTTGTCACCGCAGAAAATCATCGTTCCTGATACATCATACATTCGTACGTACGTATATATGTAAAATTTCCTCGTACAGGTGTACGACCACAACGAACTCAATGGTACGAAGTCAGTCGTACGTACGTACGAAGATTCTTCTCATACATCGAAATTGCACAACCCTGAATATATACATAATAAATTTTATTTAAAAGAATTTTAAAAATTATTTAACTAGTTGTGTATGTTATTTAATGGGCAATGAATGAAAATTGAGTAAATTGGTACAATTCACCCTCCCATTTTCAACCCCAGTCCCATTTCTTAATCCTAAAGATTTTGATTTTTATCTTGCTTAATTTCAATATCTTGAATAGTGGTTTTGACCGCTAGTTCAGAATGGTGCATATGGTTAGAAAATTTCAACTTGTTTAGGGTTCTGACAGGAAGAACAGACTTTTTCTTTCTACCTTCATCTTCATTTACTTTAAATAACCTAACTTGAATCAACTGCATTAATGGTAACTTGTATAATGTGTATTTGTTCTGTTCAACAATGATCTAAACAAACTAAACAAAATATTACTCTACAACAACGCAATAAACCAATAGGAAAATGCCAATTTTACAATCCAAAAAATTACTGGTCCCAAATATTGATAATTGCTATTGGTTACATAAGCTGGTGCAACATAAATAACTTACTAATTTTGTTGAGAGAACATGTGTATACATTCCGATTACATAAAATATTTCATATTAAAAAAAAAAATTTTTGTTAATTTGTTTATAAAAAATAAACAGATGAATTACAATTATGACCCCCAAAAAATTCGCGTTTTACCAAATGATGGTTTAAAATTACTTGTAAGTGATGGTTCATCATCAAACTATGAAATAAATGAAGTCCCAATAATTGATGAAAGTGGAGCTAAAGCCCATTTTAGACTTGTAACGCCTGATGATAGCAAGGCAATATTATGGAAAACAAAAGTTGGTAAAGGGTTAGAAAAATGGTTGAAAAGTTTTGATGAATTTAAAGATATGATGATAGAATGTATATATATTATTGTGTTATATAAATTTATTTTCTATTTTTACATCATTCGAAAAAAAATTAAATCTATTTTATAAAAATCTTTTAGCTACATTGTTAGAAATTCCTGAAGGTTACTCATTATATGAACATATAAAAGAATATAAAAATAAAGATACCAGAAGAGATACTTATCTTTATGGTGATATATCATACATAATCACTTTTTTTTTTTTTTTTTTTTCAAGAAAAATTAAATTTTAATGACTACACTTTTATTCAATCAGGTGGTAAATATCGATTCAGATCACCTAATGAGTTTATACCACATGCAATATATATTGCATCAGATAGAACTGTTCCTTGTATTTGTAAATATTGTAGTAGAAAGCCACAGGAACTTTTAGATAAAAACTCTGAAACAAATACATCTTTAGAAAATTATAATAATAATAATAACATTGATAATTATAGTAATGAACAATCATTGAATAGCATTACTGCTGAGAGTGCAACTGTTAAAAAAAAAGTAAATAAAAGGAAACAATCAATAATTGAACACAAGAACATGCCTAAACAAACAGCAAGGCGTTCAATACCTTTTCCTCTCAAAGCACCTGATATAAATCATATATATTATGAATTTAAGCCAGCTGCAAAAAAAGTGAAAGTCAATGAGAATACATTTAATGATAATTATGACAATAATAATAATACTCCTATGACAAATTGTGAGACTTCACCAATTTCCAGTACAAGTAAATCTAGCTCATATAACATTCATTCATCACCTAACACACCTGCATCCACATCCACATCCACATCCACATCCACATTCTATACTACTGGTTCTTCTCCTTATACTTTATCTCAATTCACAAGTCAAACAAAATCTACAAATAAAACCACAACGCTATCTCCGATGCTTACACCATTTAAATCTTCAAATATACATACAGGTACATCAAAACCCATTAATACTATCACAAACCCAAATTCAACATCTACATCGTCTAAAGCTTCAAGCACACCTGCAAGTCCATCAAAATCTACAACTCCAACTAGATTTCCTGTAATTAAATTTGTAACAAAACCTACTAATACAACCACAACCTCAACTCCAATCACTTCACCACCAAAACCTGCTAGTGCCATCACACATCTAACTTCATCAATTATAAAACCTACTAATACTATCACAACTTCAACTTCAACGCCATCCAAAGCTTCAAGTACACCTGCAAGTACATCAAAATCTACAACTCCAACTACATTTCCTATAATTAAATTTGTAACGAAGCCTACTAGTACCATCACAACATCAACCCCAATGGCTCTACCACAAAAACATGCTAGTACCATCACAACCTCAACTCCAATGGCCCCACCACAAAAACATAGTACCATCACCCCTCTAAATCCAACGGATACTTCATCTATTATAAAACTCACTAATATTATCACAAACTCAACTTCAACATCCACACCATCCAAAGCTTCAAGTGCACAAGCAAATACATCAAAATCTACAACTCCAACTAGATTTCCTATAATTAAATTCGTAACGAGACCTGCTAGTACTATCACAACCTCAACCCCAATGGCTCCACCACCCAAACCTACTAGTACCACCGCACCTCTAAATTTGACAGCTACCTCATCTGTTATAAAACCCATTAATATTATCACAAACTCAACTTCAACATCCACACCATCCAATGCTTCAAGTATACATGCAAATACATCAAAATCTACAACTCCTAGATTTCCTATAATTAAATTCGTAACGAGACCTGCTAGTACCATCACAACCTCAACCCCAATGGCTCCACCACCCAAACCTACTAGTACCACTGCACCTCTAAATCCGACAGCCACCTCATCTATTATAAAACCTATTAATATTATCACAAACTCAACTTCAACATCCACACCATCCAATGCTTCAAGTATACATGCAAATACATCAAAACCTACAACTCCAACTACATTTCCTGTAATGAAATTTGTAACAAAACCTACTAATACAACTACAACCTCAACCCCACCACCCAAACCTACTAGTACCATCACACCCCCAACTCTGATTGCTGTGCCATGTATATTTGAAACCGCAAAAACCACTGCTACCACTACATTATCTACAAGCGAAACCAGTACAATAATTCCAGTTGTAAGACCTGCCACAACCACAATCTCAACTGATAATAAAATTTCAATTAATTCTGCAATCCCGTTTACAACTACAAACGTGACACAAACTTATTCTACAACTTTAATCCAATCTAATTATAAACCCATAACTTCAAATAAAATTTCAACAAGAAATTCAATTGGAACTTCAATCCCAGTTTCAACTCTAGCACAACCATCACTTGAATCACAATCTTTATTAAGCTCTTCACTTAATTATACTCAAGCTCAAACTCAATTCACTAATTCTTCATTTGAAACTCAAGCTTCTTCAAATTTGATTAGTATGCCAATGTTTATTGACTCTAAGATGCACAGTAAATTCATTAGCTCAGCCATAGATACCACACCACCTATTGTCAATGCATCAGAAAATAAAAAGAATGTAATAACAACTCATAGAAAAAATAGACAACGTCATTCAGAAAAAATTCCTTTGATAGTAATTTCACCAACATTAGATTTCTTGAGTGATAATAATACTGATATTTCGGATCTAGAAATTGATTAAAAATGGCATATATATATTGTTAAGTAAGAGGTATAATATACATAATGTATATTATTAATTATTTGCTATTTTATCCATGTAAATAAATCTAAAAAATAGTTATTTATTTGATGGCTTTTATATTATGAAAATATATATTAATATAATAATTGTATTGAAACGTACAGTAATTCATAATTCAACACGTTTCAAATCTTATAAATAATAACATTAGAATCGATATATACTCATATAAATAAATTAATCTTTATTTCAACAAATCTTGCTTCAACGAATTATTGATTTTGTTTCACATATAAAATTCGTTGAAACGCGATTTTAAATACAATTTTCTTATGCATTCATTCCATCCTATAACTAGTACTGAATACTAATACGAAAAATGTACTAGTATCTATACTGAATAGTACGGAGTACATGTATAATTTTCAACAGTGAAAGTTCACTGTCAGAGAAGTGTTCTACAGTCAAACTTCATTTCAACAAATCTATGTCCCTATAAAAATTATGTACAGAATAGGTACTGGTACTGAATGAATACATACGGGAGAATCGTATTTTTGATATGGAGTGCATTAGAAAAACGCATTTTGATACGCCTCCCTGTACCTAAAAATATGAAAATGATATAGAAACCAGTCGGGTCATACATGATAAATGCATTTAATACTGAAAACACAGAAAAATCTCAAATCCCAAACTACTTGTACATCTAGGACCCCGGATTATAATTATATGCAATCATTCCTCTGTTGACTGTGACTCATCATCATTATATAAACCTAAGCCATTCTGGGTTTCATTCAAATACTCGCAAATCTGGTGTTGGCAAATAATAGTGAATCACTGGGCTCAAGTCAATGGATAACACTATAGTGCAGGACATTTATAACGGTCAATGATTATTACATAACTTTAAAAGCTTATAACTCCTTATTGAAAAGGAAAAAGTAAACCGATAGAATTAAAGCTAAAGAACTAAGCTTCATTCCCAACAGTTTACTTTTTTCATTTTATTAGAAAAGTTTTGAGTTATAAGGCTTCAAAGTTAGGCCATTTTATATATGTATATATGTAAAATTTCTTCTCTTGTGATTTCCTAAAAGGCTGATTAGCTTTAAAAATTTTTCGTGTTACAGAAATCTTTCCAAACAAGGAAATATCATTACTTAAATTAGAAAGATCTTCGAATTTTATATAAATGACTTGAATCCATAGTTCTTATGTCATGAGTTACAAAGAAGATGTCATTTCTTCTTCTGTAAATGAAGAAATTAACTTCTTCCCACCATCATTTTTTATGAATGTAGATGCAATTCATCATCTTCTAAAAAATCTCCAGTATGGCTGCAATTAGTAAAAATTATTTATGAAAAAATTATATCATTAAATCTGAAAAATTTACATCTAATGACTCTAATTAACATCAAAAATGGGTTCTTGATTGTATTAGAGATGCAGAATTGAATGACCTATTAAATCAACATAAATCAAACATGGCTGCAAAAAAGAAATTATAAAATTGAAACTTGGATTTAAAAAAGATAAAATGCAGGGAGAGGAAACCTTCATTAGTATTAAATCAAATGAGAAAATACTAGAAAAAATAAATCATTACCATTAATCGTCATGGTGAATTATATTTATTAAGGTTTGACAATCAAGTTCCTAAATTTTCCGCAGTTGAAGAGAATAGGAATGCCGTAATCATTTCTCTTGATCCAAGATTGAAAACATTTACGATTGGATATAACCCAATTGGTGAGGTTATAGATGGGGAAAAGATTATATGAGTAAAATAAATCGCTTATACTATCACTATAATGTAGTGAAAGGGATTCTATTCATGCAAAACGATATAAGCATGCTCTGAATCCACAGAAAAATTCATATAGTTGGCTTGGTCTAAAGACCTCCTAAGTTTTGCATAAATTTTAAAAGTATAGAAGTCACTTTCTGTCCTATCT